ATTTTGTGATCGGTAGACTTATTGATGGTTCGCGCAATCGTAGACTTATTTATAATAGTGGTAGAGTTATAATATGTGGTAGACTTATTTATTGTAATRGTAGATTTATTCAATCTTTTCACTTCTTTACTAAAATAACTTTAGACTTGTTTATAGTAGTGGTAGATTTATTTATTGTAGTGGTAGATTTATTTATAGTCGTGGTAGTGGTAGATTTATAATATGTGGTAGACTTATTTATAGTCGTGGTAGTGGTAGATTTATAATATGTGGTAGACTTATTTATAATAGTGGTAGATTTATTTATAGTAGTGGTAGATTTATTCAATAAAGGATAAAATCGTAATTTACCTTTCATCTTCTCCACAAAACACCAAGTTTTTCTCAAACCCTAACAATGGCGGCCAGCCATTTTTTAGCTCTTTTTTACTGTATTTTAACTCGTTTTCAACTAGATTTTGTCTAAAACTAGTAGATCTAATATTATATATATTTTTTCTAACAAAAAATCAAAAGATTTTGAGTTTTTTCTAACTTTTGATTTTTAATCCGATTTTTATCTAAATTCCGGCCTCCGCACCTCTGCCGAGCACAATCCGGTGCTTCCGCAGCCTCCGTGGCTGCGGTTTCAAACAAATGTTTGACTTTTTTTTTTTACAAATTATGAATGGTATTTTCGTAATAATAATTTGTTACTAAAGTTTATTTATCTTTTATAATTTGTGTTGAGTTTCAAAGTTGAATAAAAGTGGTTATAGTAATTAATCTATTTTTCAAAGTTGTTTTAGTAGTTATTTCTTTAGGTTTATGCATTGAAATTTAAAAAACCAGCGAAAGCTGATACAAACATTGCAAATTCGATTCACCAACGAATGAATCAAAGAGATGCAAACAAAGAAACATTGAAATTTTTATTCATCAAAAAAGTTAAAAACGAGATCTTAACAACATTGCAAAATCGATTCACCAAAGAAGGAATCAACGAGATACAAATAAACATTGAAATTTTTATTCATCAACAAAGTTATAAACGAGATCTGAACAAAAGGATCATCAACAAAGCTAACAAAAGGATCATATCAACAAAGTTATAAACGAGATCTGAACAAAAGGACTAGGAAGAGAGTGGAAATTGATCAAAAAGGATATAGCTCTGCGTGAAAACAAAAAGGATCCTCCTGCGACGGACCCAGAGCCACCATCGTAGTTGATGATCTCCCATACATTTCTGACCAAATCTTTAATCTTACACCCATATTTTGTATACATCCTTTTTTGATTTAAGACCTTCAGGTCCCATTCTTGCCGGCCGCTTCTGACTATAAAACCTAACCATAATGAAAGAGATGCAATACTAATATGTTGATTTGAGTTATAATTACATGAGTTGTTATGGTACATGACACAGATAAACATGAAAGAGCTAGGCAGTGTGTTGCAGATGCAGAGCGAACCAGTGCGGATTCAGACATCAAAGAACACATTGGATCTAAGAGGAATGCGGGCAGAAGAAGCAATTCACCAGCTAGACATGGCCATATCAGGAAGAGACTCAGATTCAATCCTCTTTATCATTCATGGAATGTGGACGGGCGTTATAAAGGAGCTAGTGCTTGAGAGGTTAAGGAAGCACAGTGGTGTTTCGAGGTACGAGCAAGCAAATTCTATGAACCATGGTTGTAGCTTACATTTAAATAACACCACCTTCTCAGTAAATTTTTTTAAAAAGTAAAAAGGATTAAAACCAAAACACAATATATAAGTAAAAAAGGATACTTATAAATTTCGATTTGGCGATAAAGATGTTAATGTGTTTATGCATCAACAAAACATTGAAGCGATAAAGATGTTAATGTGTTAATCACATCAACAATATAATGTGATTAAGTTACAAGTCTTACATATATAACTTCTTTTTTTTAATATGATGTTTTCATGTATCAACATATTTCGTGCGACATAGATCTTCCTCGTACATAAGTATCTACGGCTTCTCCTACTGTCATAAATATATTTTCTTTTTTCATTTTCTCATCCAATTTTGCTCGCTTCACTTTGTGGAGTACTCTCCATCTCGGACTAGCGATCACTAACTGCACCCACAAAACATAAACCAATATGTATAAATTGGTAAGTTGAATATAAAACCAATAAATCCACACATGTAATTAGTGAATGAATAAAACATTTGATTTGAGTATAGGTTATTTATTAGAAGTACCCGGATGTTATTAGAAGCCAGTTCTTGATGTAGTTCTTCAAGTGCAACTACTCCTGATGTATCTACACCCATCACGCCTTTACATGCAATATTCAATCATTTTACAAAATACTTAGAAAATAAGATATTTCTACTTTATTATTAAATATCATAGAAATGTAAAGTACTTACAAGACATGTCGAGAATGACTAGTTGAGGAACTTTTTCCTTTTTAA